ACAACTAATAAATAAGGGCAGAAAATTATGGATAATATTCACATTACCAGAAATAATCTGCAATATAATCCTTAGCAATTTAGCAGTTAATTTCATCTCATCAAAACATGTTCAAACTTGGGCTTTTTATTTTGCATTTTCTTATTTTATTTTCAAAAAACTTCTTAAGTGATTTGTTTTTAGTGCCTAATTGTAAAATCCCATGCTCTTGGGTGAGACATAACATGTCCAAGTATGAAATTAAGTATATAGAGAAGAGTTAAATTACAATAGTGTTTTGGAGTAAAGAATGAAGCAGGAAAATGTGATGAGGAAAAGGAAACTGTCAGTAATTGCAATGTACACACAAGGCTACAGTGATCATTTCAGGGACAAGATGGAAAGTGTGCTCTGCACAGAGCCTCTATACCGTGAAAGGAGAGAGAATCAATTTATGGGCCGAGAAAGACCTGGACAAAATTATCCATTTTGGGGGAAATCATTTGTGCTGAAGCAATGAAAACTTTCTAGAGAGCTATTTGAGGAGGCAGATGTTTAGGTAATATATTGCTGCTTTGCATTTCTATAACACCTTCCATGTAAGAGCTGCGGAGTGTAACACAAACATTAACTAATAAATTAAGCCTTGTGGCACCTCTGTGTGATCGATAGGCATAATAGCCATTTTTATAGTGTAGGAAAGGCAGCACCCTGCTCAAAATTGCTGAAGTCATTTACCCAAGGTCATAAAGAGGGGGAAATTGGTAAACTGTTTCAAAATGGGGCATCACGTCTCGCGACACTCACACAATGTGCCTCCTTCAATGGGGTCTTAGGAAGAATGAACAGGGTGCCATGTGAACCCTGGTGTCCAGTGATTCACTTCACCAGGTATCTCTGTAATTTAACTTGAAGATGGTTTGAAAATAGCAAGTCTTAGATCAAAGTCTTAACTCCTTTCTCTCTGGTTTACTCAAGAATTCATTTATTTGCCATTGCTGGTCTCTCCTGGGATCACATTGGCCTTTAGCTATGGAGTTTTGTGTTCCTGTTACTTAATCTGATTATGCAAAGGACTTAAAATATTTCAAGAATATCAAACAACACAAACATGTCTATGTAGGCATTAATGTAATTATTTTAACTGCTATTTGTTTTCTGAAAAACTCATGCAATTGCAATTGAAAATAGTGTGCCATCTCTACAAAAGATAGTGCCAAGTCCATAACAGAACCTGTTTACTTATCTTTTTCACTTGGGTCAGACATCTCTATATATTTTCCTAAATGTGACTTCTCTCCAGTATCATAACCTTGGCTTAGTAATAGCCTGTTCCTTAGTAACATTGTCTTTTTTTCCCTCTTTCTCTCGGATAACCATGTATTTTCTCCATTAGAAGAATCAGAATTGGCAGAGAGGAAAGGCAAGGAAATCAAATATAAAAACACCAGTGCTCCTAATACCTCTTGGAAAGAAAATGGACACCTCTGTTAACAAAGTTATGATGATTTCTACCTCCGTACACAATTTTCGAACTTCTCAAAGAGGAACCAACTCACCTTTAAGTCACTTACGGTCTCAATTTTCCCTTTTCTTTTCTATAGCAAGAGAAAAAAGAGCTTTTTTTTTTAACTAAAGCAAAGCATAATGTACTTGTCACTGTTTAACTTCAGCCCCATTTCTTTTCCAGAGCCTGTCCTTTGAGAGCATTAGCACTCACACCCCATACAGCTAAAACTCATGACACTGGCAAATGATGTTTCTAGAGTGCTTTGCATTGCCCAACATGCTCTCACCCTGTTTTCTCTCCAATCCTTACAATTCTCCAAGTGCAGGTGCAAACTGGGGTGCTGTCAAGCAGCCTGGTGCTGAGGGGTAGAGCCAGGTTGGACCTGGATTCTGGTTTCCACCTGCATGGTGCCCAGTAGATACCATGCAGATGTGGAGCAGGCAATGCTGGGTGCAAATTTCCCTCAGGAACTGTTCATCCTGAAAAAACACCTGCTGCACATTGCCCTGGTCACTTCATTGAAAAGTGGGTTCTTATCCTAATGGGGGTGTGTGCATATCTAGGGAAGAAGGGAAGTCAATGCCCATCATTTAGGATAAAACAAACCCACCCCAAATAATTTCAATACTGGCTTCTGGGATTCTAATTTCAGCCTTTTGGTTGAAATCATCCTAGGAGACATACCTAATGTAGGTGACAGGGGGATGGAGGCAGCAAACCACCACGCCCATGTGTATACCTATGTAACAATCCTGCAAGATCTGCACATGTACCCTAGAACTTAAAGTATAATTAAAAAAAATTTTTTTTAATCATCCTTAGAGATGATACAGCTTTTTAAAAAGCATAGTTTGTCTTAGAGTTAGGATGTAAATAAGGTTTGGTGTACAGCCCATTTCTGAAACATGCTGGCAAATCATCAGGGAAAAAGGAGAGGGGATGAAGAAGAAGTCAAAAGAAATACCCCATTGGTCAATCCATAGCCAGAGCTGCTGCTACATAGACATTGGGTTTTGGTGCTTCTGGGCTCGTATTAGTCCATTTTCATGCAGCTGATAAAGACATACCCAAGACTGGGGGGAAAAAGAGGTTTAATGGACTTACAGTTCCACATGGCTGGGGAAGCCCCACAATCATGGTGGAAGGCAAGGAGGAGCAAGTCATGTCTTACATGGATGGCAGTAGGCAAAGAGAGAGCTTGTGCAGGGAAACTCTGTCTTAGAAAGCCATCAGATCTCTTGAGACTTATTCACTGCCATGAGAACAGCACAGAAAAGACCTGCCCCCATGATTTGGTTACCTCCCTCCAGTCCCTCCCACAACATGTGGGAATTCAAGATGAGATTTGAGTGGGGACACAGCCAAACCATATCAGGGCTCCACAATTTCTTCAACTGTCTTGAGTATCAAGGTTGATAAATTCAAAGAAAGAGATGAAGACTTTCTGCTAGGAGAGAATCATCCCATCACCTGCCCTCCCAAGTGGGAACCAGGTTGCTTCTCAGCATGGGGCTTTGTGGTTTGGAGCCTGGGTCCTACTCAGCCCTTTTTTGTCTCACTCTGGTGGAATAGCCCAGGGTCCACTAGCTAATGCCCCTGCTTCTGGTATCTCGTTAGTAAGACTCTTAGGGAAAAGACAGCCCCTTTGGGAATTCCTACTGCAACCTTTGAAGAAGGCATAACAAAAAGAGAGAGCGGATAGGATCATGAAATCAGTCCTTCTGATATTCCAGGGAATTTGGATTTTGTGATAGAATAGAAAAGTATTTTCCGATAGAATAGAAAAGTATTTTCTTATTATTCAAGCCCCTGATTGACTGAAAATGGGAAAGGTCAACTGGTTTTTCCACAACAAAGGAAGATTTGTTGCTAACAGTTCAGTTAAGATTCTCATTTTGTTTTTTTAAAAAGTTGAATTTTTATTTTGACCTTGATTTCAAGTATTATTCAACAGTGTGGGAGTAATTATTTGTTTTCTGTTTGTATTAACATTGCAAACCACAGAAACTAACATAGAGTAACTTAGGTGGAAAAAAAGTTACCAGAAGGATTTTATGGCAGAATTAACATAAGGGCTGGGAAAAAAAAAAAAAAACAAAAAACAAAAAAACAGGAAAATGGGCAAGAACCAGAGGAAATGACACAACAGAGCTGTCCACAGTTGGCTTGACCTGCATTTTAGTCCCTCCCTCAAGATGTAGAATCCTAGGTATATGTATTCTCTTAGATATGCCTGAGTTGGTTTATTCTTCAAATGCCACCCTCAGCTTCATCTTGAGATTCCTCCAGAGTGGAAAGGGTGTTCAGATGCTAGGCAGCCAAGCACCACAAATGTCTACTGCCACACCTCACATTTTTGTCTACCTAAAAAACTTCCGCTATACTCTGAAACTCATTCTCATCAGTCAGTCTCTTTTTTTCTCTCTCTCCCTCCCTCCTTTGCTCCCCCTATGTCTCTCCTCTCTTTATCCCTTCCTCCTCCCCTCTATCTTCCCTTCCAGTGCTTTCTTATCCTTCTTTCCCACTTCCCCTCCCTAGCAGCCTGGGAGAGTTTGGATGTGTGTTCCTCTGCTCAAATCTTATGTTGAATTGTAATCCCCAGTGTTGGAGGTGGGGCCTGGTGGGAGGTGATTGGATCATGGGGGTGGGTTTTTTATGAATTATTTAGCACCATCCTCCTGGTGCTGTCCTTCAGTAGTGAGTGAATCCTCAAGTGACGTGATTGTTTAGGTGTGTGGTACCTCTGCCTTCCCTCTCTTGCTCCTTTTCTGACCATATGACATGCCTGCTCCCTCTTCACCTTCTTCCATGATTGTAAGTTTCCTGAGGATTCCCCAGAATCCGAGCAGATGCCAGTGTCATGCTTCCTGTATAACCTGCAGAACTGCAAGCCAATTAAACCTCTTTTCTTTATAAATTACGCAGTCTCAGGTATTTTCTTTATAGCAATGCGAGAACAGCCTAACACCCTCCACCAGATCACTCATAAAAAACCTTGGATAATCGCTTATAAGTATACATAACATGAGGTTTATCATTACTGCTTTTTTTAAGTATGGAATTCAGTGACATTAAATACATTCACAATATTCTGTGGCCATAAACACTTTCTATAGCAAGCCAATTTCAGTGAAGGCTTTCCTCTGATGAATGTGGTCTGAGGGGACTAGAGGTAATTTTGTAAAATCTAAGATGGAAAGTGAGCCATTATCAGGGAAGGTGCCTGGCATGAAAAGGCACGTTTTCATGCCTTCTTGTAGCAGGCAACATATGCCATTTACAGAATCTAACCCCTTTTGTTACCACTGTGGCTTATCAACATGTAGCTGTTGTTTGTGTTGAAAAGTAGACTGCCCCCAGGTAGAACCCTTTAGTTCAGGTGTGGCCAGTTAATGTAGCACTGAGGACCCTATCCAGGCCTCATTAGTTGCCTCATAAATAGCTTTCCAGTGCAAAGTTAGAAAGTTAAGTAAATTACTAACAAATCAACTAGAATCCGGTGAAACTCCAATAAACACTGGAATTGTCTCGCTAAGTAAAAAATTATTTACTTAATTATTTACTTTGCTAATGTGTTATCTGTATCTACATTCTAATCATATTCATCACACTTACACATCATTTAAAAAGAGAACCCTTCTCTGGCCCTCACTTTGTCACAATTCAGTCAGCACTGACTTTGCATAAGACCCCCAACCACCAACGTTCCCAGGCAGGGGAGAAGTTGCCTCCACTGAAAATAACCTAACACAGCACCCTTGATAACAGTCACACAATTGATTCTATTGTTCCTCATCTTCTGGAATTTTAAAAGCTAAGTGACATAGATCCCTGCCATTAATAATGTCCTCATGATTATTACGGTTGTTCACATTTCCTGACCACATCAGGCAACTTATCTGCTTAGGAAGAAGATTTTATAATCTGTCAGTTTTCATGCAAGTATTTTAAACAGAGAAACCAGGCCTGGTGTGAGAGCGGGGAAGACAGTCTTGGAGAACCTGGATCCAATGCCGTCTAAATAAGGTGAGAGAGAAAGCAAAGAGTTACACAAAAAGCCTAAAAAGTTTTCAACAATCGTGTCTTGGTTGACAAATGAGATAAAATCTAAGTTGGTGGTCAGCCATACGATCTCCAGCAGCCCTGGAAGGGTATGAGTTCTCAGCGTGTCATACGGGACCTCTGAATGTACAGAGGTGCTGAGGAGGGAGTCTACGCTGGTGTATGGTGCAGTCCGGAGGGTGGTAACTGACCTGTGACGCTGAGCTGAAGCTGGGCTCTAACCTAAGGATTAAACAGAGCCCTTCCCCTGGGGAACCACCTGCCTCCTGCCATTGAGATGCAACAATTACACTTCTCCTTGGAGCTCACTGTTTGATGACAGTGTCATCGCTCAGCCTTCTAGTCCCATGTCTTCCTGTGCTGAGAAACAGCTATAGAATGGAATTGGCAATTGTAGGGAGCCTTGAAATGTGAATCTTTTCTGTCTTTTTACTGTTTTTCATTCACATGGTGAGTAGCTGGTAAACAAAATCACAGAGAGCTTAAGTCACAGATGAACTTAATTTCTGGTGCTAGTCTCCCCAAATTACTTGTCTTCTCTAGGCTTTCACTCAGAAAGGTACAGAATTACGACTTGATGAGTTACTATGGCAACCCCTATATGTCATCTTCTAAATGTCCCAGACCTACAGAGCCTAATTTGATTGTAGGGATTTTAATTAATGACTTCTATGTTTTGTATAATACTATGTTTTTAAAGTTAATGAATTGTAAACAGAAAAAGGTAGGTAAATTGGTTTTGATTAAAAGATAGCTTATTTAGCAATACGGCTTCAATTTATGTTGCTCAAACAACAGAACATTATTTCAACCTATTTCAAATCTATACCACTGAGAGACTGGTACTCACTTCTGCAATAGGCTGTGATCCTGGGAACATGGGATGGGAACCTCATTATTAGTAGAATCTGGTAGAGTTGGCCTTGTTACATTGGGGTCTGAGGCTGGCTCTTTCTGGTTGTCTCAGGATGCCATCAATGATTAGTAAATAATAAATTATACCAAGGAAGAAGCTCATTTGAATGTTTAGTATGCCTTGCAAGGGAAATTAGGGACAATGCATAGAACTCTTCTATTCTCTTTGCACTTGATTTGCAAAAAATTTGCTTGTTAAATGAGTTATTACATGGACAGCATTTCGAACAGTAACCACTTTGTAACCAATCAATGAGTTTCACCATCATTGTTTGCATTTTTACGATGATTCCCAATACAGAAGGAAGGCTTCAGCATCGTGGGCCCCTCAGCATGCTGAGCTTCCGTGACCCACGTCACACTGTTTAGCATACTCTTGACTACCTCTGCTGTGTGCCCTGGATTCAAGTGTTCCACATGCCCTCTCACCATTACATTTGGATGATTTTAAAGAGATTTCTGTTTCAAATAAATGCAGGAAGAAGAATTTCACAGCATCTTGGGTTGCAATCTTACTTGGTGGTTAAGGTGAATATAACTTAGATTATGTGTATCATCATGAGGGGAATCTTCACTAACCTACAGAAGCAATAAAGAAGTTGCCTCACACTGTCTTGAGCTTCTCACGTGTATTTCTGGTGCTCTCCAGAGCCACTGGCATCTGTTTAAATACCTTTCACCCAAAAATGGTTTGGAATGGACACGCACATTATGGACAGTGTAGATGGCATAGTAGGAAGGGCTTTTTATTGAAAGATCAGGCGATTCTGTGAGGGAAATTAGAGTCTGGAAGAAGTAAAAGTTGAAACAACCAACAATAGCAATCCACTTAGCTGTCCTCCTGCAGCCTAAATAGGAAGAACCAACTAAATACAGATACCTATGACACCTGTTTTCCTGGGCTATGTCCCACCATCCGTCTCTGCTCACTGGCTCCTAGCACCTCCCCTACCCTTGATGCCTCACAAACAGCCTCGTCCCTTCCCTCAGGAAGCTCCACGCCTCTCCCAGAGAAGAGAAGAGTATCCTCATCACTTTCCTCTGCCTTGCAATTTGAGTAATGCCTCAGCACTTCAACCAGTCTGCGGATATTTTCCTCTTCTTGAGTGTGGTAAACTCTGGAGGAAGATAATGATGGGTCCAAAGAATTTGATAAATTGGGGCACCCCAATTTCAGACCATTCTCCACTCCTAAGAATGCTGCAGTTGAGGTAAGCCTTCATATTTTTTCTTAGATTCACTACCCAGGGTTCATCGCAAAGAATATTTATTCCGTTGTCATGACTTTGGTCTTTTTCTTCTGATAAAACAGGCCCCACCACTTGACACTTCCCTGCCCCTGAGCCCTGCTGTCTCTTTAGAGAACCACTTAATGGTCAATGGCTGTTGTCCTTGGTTCCTGTGTGGGATAAGGCTTGCAGTTATGTGCCACTTTTTTCAAGGATTGCTTCGCGTAGGGGTGGACGTGGTGTCGGGGAAGGGTGGTGAAAGAATTCAAGAATGGGATAACCAATTCGTCTCATCACAGGGCTAGAAAGAACAATAATTCTCCTGGCCTCCAGTTGAGAGCAAGGGGAGGTTTGTGGACTCTGACGGAGGCAATGGGGCACTCTGTGCATAAAGGACTATGTGCACCGCATGACAGGTGCTCAATGAATTTTTCCTCTTGAAATTTAACTACCTTCTTGATATGTCACTGCTCCTTAGTGCCTCCAGAAAAGAGAATAGAAAAAACAAAAGAGAGGATAGTATGATTTTCGCTGTCTTTTTAAAGCAATGGGATGTTTATTAAAGACTTTTGATACATACTAATGGCTTTAAGCATGGTCATGAACGTAATGTATTTAAAATTTACCCTACTCTTATTCTTACCTTCAGCTCGGATAGAATGATTTTTACCGTAATTAGGGAACATGAGCTGATAGAGGAAGCTACAGAGGGTCACTTGCTCATGTGTAAAGGCGGGAGGCATGAGAAGCCCCCCGTTTTTTATAAAATATATCCAATGTGTGTTCTAACGTAGGTCTCAGCAGTTAGCAGAAAGTGTCTCTGATTTGGCCTCTAAGAAAGACACCAAATAAAAACCCCAAACTCCACTCTTATAGGATCTTGCACCCAAAGTTGACTATTGGTGGCTACATTGTGTACTACATGGGGTTAGTGCTACATGCAAATTATGTGGACAAGTAAAGCAAGATGACCCCACAGATTTTTACCCACAACCACAGCTACATCTGCGTGGGGGAGGCAATCCTGCCATGCCATTCCCCCCATCTCATTCTAAGAGTGATGGAGAGAGTCTGTGACTCAGCCTGCCAGACCTTCCTCTCCAAGTTCAATGTGGAAACCAGCTGAGGCCAGGGACTTAGGCATCGGCTCCCTAGCTCACTGTCAACTTAGAACCAAACAGCAAAAGGCACTGGTAGCTCAACAAAGGGACGGAGTAAGCAGATGGAGCCATTTTATTCCTTAATTAACATAACAGCTCTAAGCAATCTCTCCCCACCCCCGTAATCTTACCAACAACACTGAGGGGTTCTACCTGTGTTTATTGGCTGTTTGTGCTGTGTGTTTCGAATAATTGATAACATATGTGATTTTGTTCTTATGTACTGAGCTTGCTTAATCTGCATATTCATTAAAAAAGAATTTTTAAAATTTTTGTCAGATGCTCTGCATCTGAATCATCTTCTAACATTAAACCACAGCCAAGAACTTTTATGTCTTTTATCACATTAATATAAAGATTCATGGAAATTTGGGGTCTTGGTGGTTTACAATTTCTCTAGTTTCTCCAGTTCATTTACTTTTTAAGGGCAAGCTGTAAATATTGGTGGTAACGATGTGCTGAATGGAATTACATTTCTATATCCACTTCAGAAAGATTAGACTAATCCAGAGACCAGAAATCAGTGGAATTACAAACTATCCAATTCTTGGTGGGAGTTTTGAAGCAAAGTTTTTAAGAGTAGTTTGTGGCTTAAATTGCATATTCCCTCTGTAGTTTACTTGAGCTATTTGAATTGCAGAAGTACATATGTGTAAGCTCATCCATTATATCATGCATAATATATAGAATGCAGATAACTGTGTAAGGCAGCTCACCAAATGGTACCTGGCGTGCAATAGGCATTAAATGAATATGAATAAATAAACTAAAGAAAATGTGCTGTCCCTATTAGGATCATATCTGATTCCAAGGAAGTGCAAGGGTCTGTGGGAGGTAATACCAAATGTTGTCAAGTATGGCCTGGGGAAACAGATCACCAAGATGAACAGTATTCTATAATATGTTGAAAATTATAAAAATATGCTTTATTTACTTGAAAAATTTGTTTAAAGAAGCTGAAATCAGCCACAGATTTTTCCTTATGTGGATTTTAGCTTTTCCTCTTCAAACTCTAAGTTGTAGAATCGAGCCCCTCCAGTCTCTGTTGGGGATAGTCAGAGAGGCTGACTGACTGGTGTTAACTTTGGTCCCAAGAGCCTCTTCATCATCCTCCTTCTGCTTGAATATCAGGAAGGCAAAAATAAGCTACATGTAATGTGGGCATCAGGAAGGGTGAAAGAGTGGTTTACAATTGCAGGCAGCAGTCTCCAGACATTAAAAGATGAGGGAAAGTGTAGGGATGGTGGATTCCCAAGTAAGAAAAACAATTTCCCCCTGCAAGGAACCATGTAAGGCCATCAAAGGATAATAACCAACATCCATGCAACTCCTGCCAGGTGCCAAACGCTGGATGGCCTCACCAGCCTCTTGGAAAAGGAGGGGGTAAGTACATACCTTCTTCGTTTTCTTTTTCGGGGACCCAAGACACAGAACGATAAAGTAACTTACTTAGGTTACACCATGAATGAGGGGCAGGGCTCGGTCTCAAACTCAAACTGAGCTACTAATATCTCAGTAAAATACCTTTGTATAAATGAGGAGGTAGCTCCTAAGATCTTATCATGGCTGTGTGGCTCCAGATTTCTTTACCACTGCAAGCACTTCTAAGCATAGCATAGGGTTCACCTGCAACTAACCGCACCACCTTGAGAAAATACCAGACCCTTGAAAGTCCAGGGCAGCCACTCCGTGGTCCTTGCTCTCCCTGCATGAACCATTTGCATCTCCAGACCATGTCCCTTTCTGATCCCTAATGTCTGTCAGCCTCTCACCCCTGCACACACCAGGATGCCCCTTCCTTCCTGCACTGCCTTCTTCCTTGTTCTTCAGCTGTCAGATTGACTCCTCTTTAAGACCCATGAAGTTTTTCATGGCCAGTCCAGTGCCAGGATTACAATGCTGTACACATTCATTCACTTAGGCAACAAACATTCGTCAATATGCTTTCAGCATGAAGTTACAGGAAATCCATCTTAAGCAGGATTTAGCAACAATGAAATAGTTGGTTCGCATTCCTGGAAGTCACAGCAGGGGACCGATGCTTAGGTTGCTTGGTCTGGAAACTTTAGTTCTATTTTTCCACAAATTCTTTTAATAAGTTTTTTTTTTCCCAATGAATTTGTGACTCGACCCTTTTCTGCATGTTGGCTTCTTCCTCACTTTGCAGAAAGATGCAATAAACAAAGTCAGTTCTGGAAGCAGAAGACAGACCTTTCTCAGGAGTCCTTAGCAAGCTTCTCATTGGTCTGATTGAGTGACATGCTTGTCCTGGACCAATCACCAGCAAGCAGGATAAAATTACCCCTGGTGCTATCATTCCCATGCTTGGAGCCAGGGTTGTGTTTGACATATATAAGGGAATTTAATTCCTATGTGAATCTGTGAAATAAAATAATTCATAGTTTGTAGCTCATACATGCACAAATATTTTATTCTTACCAAACAGGGACATACTGCACAAAACTAATTCAACCATTTTTGTTTCATTTCTTGCTATGTGCACATTCTGCTAACACTCTACATTCCTACTCGTTGTGAATAAAGAAGGGCCTGAAAAAAAAAATAAAAGAACCATAGGTTGCCCTATCTTTCCCTTTCGTCATTTTCAGCGTAAGTGTTTGAGTAACACAAAAAATGTAACATGAGTGGGAAAGGCTATGACAAGTTCCCTTGATCATTTGTGTTTCTTAGAATGCCACTGCCTTCTTTCTGTGTCCAAGCAAGTTATGATTGGAATGGAAAACGTAGCCACCCAGGGCTGTCAGTACTGCTGCCTCCTCAATCGCAGACATGTTGATACAGAACATGATCATCGAATTCCAGTGAAGCCACAGTGCATGGCAGTGCAGCAAGAGTGAAAGCAAGTAGAAGGTAAGTATGTTACGGAGCTAACACCTGGGCTGGCTAAGATACCAGATGTGCATTTCATGTTTATCTTCTCTGCTCACTGCATGCTGTGTTGTCTCATCAGACTTTACTTCCAAACCAGAAGTTTAAGATAAAATTATTAAGAATTTCAAGATGGTGACAGCAGAGCATTTCCCCAAGCATAGGGCCCTTCTGAGCAAGAGGCCCTGTCGCTTGTCCATGAAGCCAGCCGTGGATGATTGGTTACCTAAACAAAATTAGGGTTCTGTTGGAAAGGAGGGGATGGAGGTTGAATTCCCAGTCAACCTTGTCCTGTATTGGCTTTGACCTCATTTTGTAGATGAAGGATAAGGGGCTCAAAAATGTCTGTCTAGTTGTTGTAAAGCTGATATTCAAGCCTAGATTAGTCTATGAAATAAGTACATGTCTGCTATACCCTTTCTATTCTCATATTGCTAACCTGTAACATGGTATGTTAGTCTGTTTTGCATTGCTATAAAGAAATACCTGAGAGAGGGTAATATATTTTAAAAAGAGGTTTAATTGACTCATTGTTCAGCAGGCTGTACAGGAAGCATGATGCTGGCATCTGCTCAGCTTCTGGGGAGGCCTCAGGAAACTTAGAATCACGATGAAGGTAGAGGGGAAGCCAGCGTGTCACATAGCTGGAGCAGCAAGAGAGAGAAGTGGGGAGGTGCCACACACTTTTAAACTACCAGAACTCACAGGAATTCACTCACTGTCACAAGGACAGCACCAGGGAAGATGGTGCTAAGCCATTCATGAGAAAACCACCCCAAAATCCAGTTACCGTCCACCGGGTCCCACCTCCAACACTGGGGATTACAATTCAACATGGGATTTGGGAGGGGACACACATCTGAACTATCACATAGGAATCAGTTTTATGTCTGGATTTGTGTGTTCCGGTGGATTGTCACTGAGTAGAAATCTATGCTCCTGGATCCCTCACAGAAATCAACTGGAATTCTGTATAAACAAGAACACTTCCTAATGAATTCTAGGGAGAACCACTTATGTGGGTTTATGTATTCAATTTGTTATCACTGTTCCTATTGCTAGGAGATGTGCATTTAAAGGAAGGATTCCAATATTACATTAAGGGAAGCCAGATACCAACTGTGTGAATTGCTTAGTCTCATTTTTGAAACATGCTCTCTTTTTAAATGCCTGGGCCTTGAAGCTGGTGATTTCACTTCCCCTTCTCTGGGCTGGCGTTTCACAGGGCACTGCTGTAGGGGTATTTCAGAGAATGACACTCAGATATTGGGAAGTAAGTGATAAATGAGCAGACTTTATTTGGGCAATGCAATTTTCAGACGGGCTGCAACAGAATATATTTTCGGGTGCTTCTGTTGGTATTTAACTTGGAAACTGTATATACAGTAAATCAGGAAGGCCAATAATACAATACATAGGGGGATGTTTTATGTAGACTTCTGACAAAGTACAACAGCTGTCCTAGCAGAAGGGGTGTGGATTTATGGTCACGCGCTTGCAGGTGGTGACAGCCAATATGTAGCATGGTTCTCTCTATATATACCTGGAAGTATTTATTTTTCGGTTCGTCCTGAGGTAAAGGAAAAGTGTAAGGCAACTGTGGACATTTTGACACCAGGTATGCAACCTGTGTAGTAATTGCATAGCTTTTAAAGGCTGGAGCAAGAACTTAATGTAACACACTTGCTAACAGCTCTTTTTTTTTTTTTTTTTTTT